TGTCTTTGATATGCCAATCAGTGAGATCCTTAGAGGGGGTCAAAACCTGGGTATGTTGGGACAGTTTGAGAATTCATCTGAGTGGGTGATGATAGTGACAGGATCAGCCCCTTTGTCGGACAAAGGTAATGATCGGGGATGCACTCTCTCTAATGGAAACCAAGACTGTTGGCAACCGATTTCAATCATTGAAATTTGTTTTGCAAAATATATTTATATACAGATATACATATATATATATATATTATGGTTTCAAAATGTTTGCAAAAGGTTTTAATTCCCAGGATCTATGTGAGTAGAGAGTGCAACACTGTTCCTTGCAGCCGAGGGAGAGGTCCTCTCTTGTCAGGTAGTGTTAGATCATCATGGGTTGAGAGGTTAAATGTAAGACCATTGAGTGTAGTACCTGATGGGCTAATCTTGCATCTGCCCACAGTCCCTAGGTTTTTATATGGTGGCTTGGCCCAGGACCACTTAGTGTAAGTGTTGGGCCCATTAATAGTGAATTCGGCCAAGCCTTGTAACAGAGGCTAGGCTGAACCCATGTGGTTGATGTGTAGATCAATGTTTGGGTCCCACGCCATACAAAGAAACCCAGCTGTGCAGCAGTTTGGAAGGTTAGTGAGCACATGGACTTAATGGGCCTAAAGCCCAATTCGAACTGGTCTAATTTGATTAGTTAAAGAAGAGGGCAAATCTGGGATTTGGATCAGCAGATAGGATAGGGAGTTATATCACTATCCACTCAGAGAGTCCAGATCCAAATATAGATTTGGATTTGGAAACTCCTAATAAGATTAGGAGGGGCTGATCTAATCTACAGATAAGATAAGGGCTTATCCTTATCTCTTAAAGATAACTCCTTATTCAAATACAAATTTGGATTAGGAAACTCCTAATGAGATTAGGAGCTCTCTTTAAGGCTATAAAAGGAGGAGGGGGTGAACCATTCTACACAACATCTCATCAGATCTCAGATCACAGAAAGAGAGAAGACAGCTACAGTAAGACTACGCCATCTTCTGCTCTTGTGCCCTCCTCCTGCTGCTGCCATTGCCAGTTCAATCTCCACTGTAGGAGCGATCAATAAGTGTTCTTGATATCAGTTTTTGGAGAACAACTGATTTGAAGTTGTGCTCACATACCCTTCATCGAATTTTTGCTGAAGGATTTGGTTCTTGTGAAGAACCACCTGTTGATTCTGCTCCACCCTACACTGTGTCATCTTTAGTAGGAGCAGTTTTTGGAGTTTTCCTTGGGTGTGAAAACCTTCATTGGGAGATATTGTTTCTTCGTATCAGGTACCTCCCTCTCCTACCTTTTGGTTTCAGATCTAGTTCGATTCTTGGTTCAAGATTGATCCTTGAAAATGCAGATTTTCTAAAACAGGGAATGTGATTCCCATATGGAAGAGAGATAAATTTTTGAAATTTCGCCCTACCTTCCTATAGGGTTCGGCTATCCATATGATGGATCTCTCTTCCCTTCACACCGTACCCTATGTTTTACGGGATTGTGACTTGTAATGGCTGTATTAGCTCACCCACTCCCCGATTTAGGCAAAAATGGGCAATCTTACTGGTTGGTGGCCTTATGCCCACCTAACATGAAAGCAGGTCCCATCACAGCGGGAATCCAGGAACTGTTCCTCCAAATCCACAAGGACTCCAGTATATAAAGACTTCACCCCCCAGGGGCAAAGGTATGATGCGAGAAAAGGAGATGGTAACCCCGCTCTCTAACTCTCTGATATCATCTTCAATCTCTCTACTACTAAGTGCTGACTTAGCCATCGGAGTGACCTCGCCGAGTATACACCCCCGGGCTCTCTGATTCAGTTCTTGCAGGTTTCTCAGCTCCTACCGCCTACAAAGATGAGCAGATCATCTCCAACAAGGAGTAGCCGGTTGAGTTCCTGTCGTTGCTGGTAGCCAGATCAGTTCCTGTAGGGAGCATCTGGGCTGCACTACACTAGGGAGCTCCATTTCAGTCTTTGAGTCATTGACCACTTGGGAGCATAGATTACCTAGTTAGGGGTGGAAGTTTTTTCACGAGCTAAGCTTAACTCATGAAGCTCGATTTAAACTGTGCTTTGAGTCAAAATCAAGCCTTATATATCGACTCATTTGCTAATCGAGTTAAGCTCGAGTCTAATAAAACTTGACTCGTAGACCTAATTGTGTGGATATATATGTATATATAATAAATATTGTTTATTATATATAATAATATTTGTATTTTTAATAGGATTCAAACCAAATCGAACTCGAACTTGTGAGGTTGTGAGCTGATCCCAATTTGAACTTTAAGTCTTTGGGAGAATGATGATTCAGCCGAGGGTCAAAATTCATAGGCCTCAAAAATACAATTGGGGTAGGTGCCAACTCAGAATTAATGCTAATTCAAGACGGACATTGATGCATAAAATGGGAATAATTGACCTTTTCAAATGTTTTAGATCTACAATAGAAATCATAATTCTGCAATGGGCCAGTCCGTACTTCTCCGTAAGTCTTTTTAACTCGAATCGAACTCGAACTAGCATTGTTTTTGACGAGCTGAACTCCAATAGACCGGTATCGGCTCGAATCCACCCCTTTGACATGGTTCCTCGGTTACAGGCCCTCTCTGCATTCACTTTATTAAACTTCGACTTACACGCTTGTGCCGCTAACATTCCACACCACTATAAGGTTAAATTGTCAAGGCTCAAGACTAAAGAGAAGGGCCAGAAGGCGAACATTGGACTCGAGTAGAACTACCTACATTAACGAAGAGCAAAGAGGGAAAAGTAAAGCAGATAAACATCAGCAGCAGCGAGATGGGAGTGGAGAAACAAGTGCTCCGAGCCGGAAATGGTCCCAAACCCGTTGCCGGTCAGAGCGTTACCGTACACTGTACCGGATTCGGTTGTTCCCATCTCCATCTCTATTGTATATCTTCTAATTAAACTATTCTATGATTGTTTGTTTGTCTGTTTGTAGTTGTTGCTTTTGTTTCCTACCTGCAACTGTTCTCGTCTTCTTCGAAATCCCTTTTTTTTTTATTGTAAGCATCATGACCAATTTCAGATTATAGTTTTCTTCATCTGTTTGGCGTTTATGCTTGTAATGATAGTTCTTCCTTTAGTTTCTTTGGTATGAACCCTGCGTGATTTGCTTCAGTAGTTCATGTACGTGGTTTCTGATTTAAGGAAAATCTGTATCATCGGATTTATATGATGGGTTTGTTTGTGGTGGGGATGCTATTCCTTCTTCTATAAAGCTTGTGGTAAAGATGACATTACGATTTGGATTAGAGACGTATAGAAAAAAAAAGAAAAAAAAAAAGAAAACTGAAACCGATAAGTTGCTCAGATATTTTGAGGGAACAGATATTTGTTCTGAGTTCGAGTAGTAAAGAAGTAGACCATCTTACTTACAGATTTACCCTGAGTGTTTAGGGATGGTGTCTCGCCTTACCTTGGTTATCATCCATTGAATGATGCCTTGGTCCTGTTTACTTGTATCCATGTTGATGGGTTGTCCGTTGTTGGGAGACAATAGAAATGGAGGTTTTAAGTAATGAGTTGATCAACAATAAGAATGTTGACCTGTGAGTATTTTTACTCCCCTGATAGAGGGAATTCCATTATCATAGTCATTCAGCTTATATGCAAAGTTAGGTACCATGAAATCATTTCAAGGTTTCAAAGAAATGAACTAATTTCCCTAATTTCTTTTTCGTAATAACCAGGACTCCATTTCATTTGGTGATTTTTTCCCTTGTTATTAGCGGCTATGTTTTCTGAGCTCATTTTCCCCTTTCCTTTTGCAGGTAAAAATGGTGACCTCTCTCAAAAGTTCTGGAGGTTAGAAACCTGTTCTTGACTTTGCTCCTCCCCCTCCCTCTAATTATTGCATTGTTACACATGGCTATATTTCTGTTCCTATCCTATCCACTGAGGGCTTAATCACCTTGTCATTTGTTTTTTTTTTTTTCCCTCAAATTTTAGCACAAAAGATCCTGGGCAGAAGCCTTTCACATTTAAAATCGGCCAAGGTTCTGTTATAAAAGGTAAATCTTCTTTCTTATATGCTCTATAATTAATACAAGACTATGTTATTTCAGCAAAGTGAACATGCTAGGATAACTTTCTTGTAGAATCTATTATATATCTTCATTTCTCCTTTGACTGGTAAATAATATATTACAACCCTGGGACAATCCTCAGTTTTGTTGCTTATAAAAGTTCTGACTTCTGATTGATGATAGGAAATAGGAGTTCTAAAACATGGATATTCCATTATATGGATGAAATTATTTATACCATACGATGACTCTATTACTCAACCAAATTTGTGACCAACTAGTCTAAACAAAAACATGGTTGACTACTTAATGTTATTCAGTTATTCACAGATACAGCCTCTTTAGATCATAAATTTCAAGCTTCGTTCTAAGTATTTATTTTTGGGTAGAAATTTTCTGATACTTCATTCCATGTTCCTTTTTTGCTTTTCCTTTTGACCTGCATTACTTGCTCAGTCTTACTTGTGCATCTTGTGACTAAATTTATCATTTCTTTGCTGTTGTCTAGGGCATTAAATTCTAATTGCCATATTCATCAACGGCCCCTATCTAAAATTTTTAAAGGCTCATATATAATAGTTGTATAAGGAATGCCTTAAAAGAGAATTAAAATTCATGGGTATTTGATAGAATCATCTGAATTGACTATCCTCCTCTTTCCAATCATCTGTTTCACCATCCTAAATACTACTTAATTATCCTTTCCTATGAAGCATATTTAGTCTTATAGTGTTGCAGAAGCATGTATGCTCTTCATCTACTCCATCCTAATTCCATGCGAAACATCCTTTCATTCTCTCCTTTCTTCTGGATAATTGAAGCCAAGTTTAAGAATGGTCACTTTTCTGTATCTCCCTAAGATGCAGATGTGGATAACTGGATATGGGCACCAACATGGATTGATGTGCTTAATCCAATGCTTTTATGTTTAGTTTTAAACCAAGTATCATTTCTCAAAATTAATATATTACTAGAGTTAGTTAAACTTATAACACATACAGATTTTTATAGTATGATTTATTAAAACTTATAACTTTACATATTTTAAAAGTGTTAATGGTATAAAGTATACTCTAGAAGAGTCCATGTCATTGTTATGAGGGGAACAAGGTGTGACAGGTATTGCCTTGTTGCCTAATCACTTAGGTTGATGCCTAGGTGCCAGTTAGGCAGTGGCTTTTTTTTTTGTTTTTTTTTGACAAATAAGACCAATAACTGATTGGGGAGATCCATGTTGGCACGCTCCAAACAAATTAGCAAATAAATTTTGTGTATATAGGCACATTGTGTCATTAATTTCATATTACAAAATCACTTTTAATGATAAATTTCACATATGATGTAATGAATTAGCAAGCATACCTAAAATTGTGAATTTTCATATAACAGGAACCCAAATGAATAAGCAAAAAAACATATGATAAAGTGCCTGTGTTGTCTTTTTTCTTGCCTAAGAAGGCACCAGACTGCAAATTGCAAAAAGGGTATGGTGTAAATGCATCCATCTAAGTTACATCTTGTCAACTAGGCATTGCGTTGATTACTGTGGTCCATACAGCAACGATTGATGCATTGAGTTAATACCATGTCTAATACCAATATGCTAGGTAGATACAGGTACCTGTATATTGTTGAGTTTCATTTCATTTCTCCAAATTTAGTTGCGCTTGCAACATCTAAAAATGTCTAATATGATCTGTTAACATATACCTTTTAGTCTTTGGAGGTATTGGTGCTACGAAGCATATGTTTGAGGTATCTGTACAATACCCATTGTCATATTTGGTACACACTACACACTGTTTGTGACACAGGCATTGTTAATTATGATTCTAAAGCATTTGTCAAGAGCATTTGCTAGTAGTTTCAATTATTCATTGCCCCCTCCCTTATGGTCTCAACTCTCAAATTTTTGTTGTTAGCAAACAACTTACAGGTTACAGAAGGAGACCTGTCATTATAAGCGTCCAGTCAACTCCTCCATTAAAAATGCAAAACTGAAATGGTTTAAATATCTATCGTTGGTCAACTTACTGTAATTGGAAACTGCCCTGTCCTCCCCCTTCCCTCCTTACCAAATTGTGTTATTACTTTAGCTATTGTTGCATCATGCATGTCCTTAATATGTCTGTTATCTACCTTGAACTTTTTTGGATCATGTGAAATGCTTCTTTGGCTTCTTTTGAGTTGGTTAAGAAGATGTGAAGTTCTTTTCTCTTGCTTCCACACTTTCTTTCAGTTGCCTAGATAAGGGGAGAAAAAGGGTTTCAGTTGCCTTTTCCTGAACATAAAGAAAAGCTTTTTCTTTTTTTTTTTAACTCTTCTTTTAAGTTTTAGGTTTTGATCAAGTTGCTCTTTGCAAAAGTTTCCTAGTATGTTCCACAGAATTGGGCCCAAGATATGTCCCATTGCATGTAGAATTGCACTGTACTTGACTGCTAAATGGACTAGGAAAAATTTACTTGAAACCTGATTATGCTCTTCAGGGGTAACATTTTGTAAGGTTCAACTTTTAATGTTTGGTGCAAGTGTTGGGATAAGGCATGGATTATGATGATTGTGATGAATGTTTGATGCAAGTATTTTTAGGATTTAATAACGGTGCATATGGAGTATTAATTAGTCTATTCTATCATTGGTTAGGATGGGATGAAGGTGTTATGGGAATGCAAATTGGTGAAGTTGCTCGTCTCCAGGTAATATTTAGCTCCTTCTGTTCTTTATGATAGTCTTGAAATCTATTTGGTTTTGGATACTCTTGATTGTTTCTACTTGGGAAAAATTTAGCAGAAATCCTAGTCCTTTGCCTTCAATGCCTTGCACAGTTTCATTTTCATCATTGATTAAAGAAAAGTACATTGAAGTTACAGTCGTTTAAAATCATGGTGTTGAAATATGCGTAGTAACTAGTTTAGTAGGATTAAAGTTGGCTGTGCCCAACCCAGATCTCCTTCCCACAGGACACTACAGCTGTACATTGGGAACATCTTCCATATTTACATGTTACCATTCATGGGGAGATGTTTCCAATGTACGGCTGTAGTGTCCAGTGGGTAGGATCCTTGTGGGCAGGAGATCTGAGTTCGGTGGTTGTGCCTGACTTCATGTTTTATTCCTTCAAGTGGATTGGTTGATTTTTGGCAAGCTTATGGACTTCTGAGGGCATGTGTCTATAAGCTGTTGATTGTTACTTGTGACAACTATAGTTCGTGTAATGTGTAGTACTATTTTTTTTTTTTTTTAAAAAGTTGAAACAGATTTGAACTCATTTCCACGTGAATGCAGTTCTAATTGCTACTTCTTAGTGATAGAGCAGTCCATTTATTGCTGTTTCTGTTATTGAAACTTGATATTAATCCTGTTGGTGTTGGCTGAATTTACAGTGTTCTCCTGACTATGCATATGGTCCTAGTGGATTTCCAGCATGGGGAATTCAGCCGAATTCAGTTTTGGTCTTTGAGATTGAAGTTCTAAGTGTGCAGTAACCACTATGATGGAGTTGGTAACCATCTTAAATGTCTCCTATATACTCTTGATGCCATCTATCATATATTTACATGCTGCTCTTTTCATGGACGTGTTTTGAACTATGGTATCCATAGTAAGAATTGTCTTGGCAGTTTTAAATCGTACTAAAATTATAACTTTGGATGAAAAAGATGTGATTGTTGTTTAAAGATGTGAATTTGTGCTTACTGCTTTTGATTTATTTCATTCCCACAACCTACTTGGCAATTGGCATACCTAAAAGGGAAAAAACGAATGAAAAAATGAATAGCATTTCTAGATCATGCATCTGAGAGCAAGAAAGAAAGATTGGTGTTTGACTCCTTGTCATTCGTCAACCATATCCCATCATTATGCCCTTGTTGCTGATGCCTTGCTTGGTCTCTAACCTCTCCGCCTTGCGAGGCTGTCTTCAGGATTGGCCGATTGGGATACTTGAAGTTCTGAGAGATTGATTTTTTGGTTTCATGGGGTAGTAGCCCATCTCCCTTACCTTTACCCCACCCCTGGTGGCAGTGGGATTTGATGTTAGGTCTCTGTTACAATTCGGTGTTCCTATCAATTGAGCCACCATCAGTTTCTCAAACTTGTGAGTTAGAGGTGGTGTCCAACTTTTGTGTGTACGTGTATATCAACCTCTATGTTTTGGCAATTCCTTTGATTTTCCCGATAAGTGGTATCAAAGTTAGTTCTGAGGGATTGATTTTCTTCATGCCTTTGTGTATTTTGAATCTTTGATAATCTTTCACTGGCTTGAACCGAATGCAACGCACTGCAAAACTATTAAGAGTACGCCTTTAGGGCATATCAATTATCAGTGAGACCCGGTGCTCAGTTTCCAATCATCAAGCATGAGAGGCTAATTTCCGTTAGAGCCCATAAATGATAAATCACAAAATCTTCATCCGTTTTTTTTCCGTAGATTGGATGGATTTTTTCCTCCAGATTGAAATATCTTGGCTATTATTTTACCCCTTTTATGATAAAAGTTTTGTTTTTCAGTCTTTTCGATTTAATTTTTATTTATGTAATAGTCGAGGCAAATTTTATTTCATCATAAAGCAGTAAGATATAGCTCAGAAGTTTTCAGCCTTCAAAAAATTCCCCTCGTTTCATCTTTAAATAGACGGAGCTAGGATAGAAGACAAACACCTTGTATGCATAAGGGTTATATAGCCTAAGCCAGAGCCTATCCTGAAATTTGCGGGCCTGGGCTGGGCCTCAACACAAAACCTAGGACCAAGCCCGGAATTTCTGGGCCGGGCTGATTAGCTGATCACTCCTAGAGGGTGGGGAGCTTATTAGCTGACCAGTTTATTTGATTATTTCCCTTTTTGCTACGCTGCTATGTTGGGCCACATCTCCAATCAACATTTAATGTAATCACCAAATAACTCAGTAATACAAACTACTATCAATGAAAATTATATAAAGCAGCTAAGCAAAGCGTAATTAAAACATGGCCACACCATCTGAAAATAGCCATCACAGAGGTTCTTGATACGAAGTGAATGGATGATTACGGGTTCCAGGATCCTCGATAATCAGACTATAGCAAGCCAACACCAAAATGAGCCAAATCCAGCGGTGAGCAGTCTCCCACTACACAAACCCTGCCTCAATTTGTCTGTTCTAAATTTCTAATAAGTATGCATTATTATGACTTGGAATATGGATGATGTGATGCAATATCAAGGGCTAGTTCTAGTTGTTGAGGGTGGTGGAGGGGACAGAGGGATTGTAGTTGGGATTGGAGGGATGGTGGGGAGAGGAGTTGCTGGCAGTGGAGGCTAGGGCTTCAAATGGATTGGTTCTAAATGGATATAGGCATATCTGAATTTGATTTGCTAACATTCGAATTTGAATCAGATCATATTTATTGAATATCTAGCGGATTCGAATTGAATTTGGATTATAATCAGATATTAAATAGTATGAATAAATTAGACTAAAAGTAACCAAAATATTATATATTATTAATGAGTTAAAAATGACTTTAATAATATATTTTATGAACAAAATGAATTGAAAATTGCTTGTATAAAACTTGAACAAATGACAGTTTAGTGAAAATACAAACACTAACATCAACTTCAATGATAGGTATAATTTAAGTATATATGAGCATTTATATTTAAATCGAATTGAATCAGATAGGGGTAGATCCATATTTGATCCAATTATAAATGGATCGAATTCGGAATCGGATAATTGGATACCATTTGCAGCCCTAGTGGAGGCAACGTGACTTTTGGAGTGGGTATGGGTATGGATAGCAGAGGTGGCAACGTAGGCTTTGGCAGAGAAGGGATTTGGGTATTGGGCAGAGTTGGGATTGTTGGCAGAGGAGGTAACTGGGTGGTGGGCACTGACGGCAATGTGGGCTTAGGAAGAGGAGGTAATTGAGGGTTTAGGCAGAGGTGGGATTGTGGGGATTGTTGGCAAGATGGCGAGCCGCAGCACTCAAATTGATGCTTGACATTGCCAGTGCAAACATCAAACACAGAACCAACCGATGCTTAGAAATTAGCAGCGATTAGAGGAGGCTTGAGGAGCTGCAAACCTAGTAGTAGTAGTAGAATAGAGTAGATGGAGGTTTTGTGAGATAAAAGAACCACAACAAGCTAATAGATATTATTTATAGAGGCGAGGGGACATAAGTTGAAAATGCTGGTGGAATTAGAAGAACATAGAGATGGAGTTGAGGAAAGTAATTGTTAGTTTACCTTCTCATCCTTCCACGCTACCAATGTCAAATACAATTACTCTAATCACTTGATCTTGACATGCAATATCTCCTTTGTCCAGCTTCACTTCCAAGTTCCAGCCAACATATTCTTAGCATTTGACTTTTACTCATAGAGTTTGATGGTATTATATGCATTTGGGAAATAAGCCCGAATGATCACTTTTTTTCGCAAATAAGGCTATATTTGGTATTCCTTATTTTAAGGACTTATCTTATACTGTTAAAATGCCCCTATGAGCAATGAATTTTTAATAACAAAAAGGAGATAAATTCTTATAACAAGGAATGCCAAATGCAGCCTAAGTCTTCTTTTGAATAAATTCAAATTCAAAATTTTGATATTTTTTTTTTCAAATGCTTATTGTGTTACTGACCCATCTTGACCCGGCATGTAATTTTTAAGATGTCTATACTGCCTTGTTTGAAAGAAACGCTTTTTCACCAAACACTCATAAGTACTTATTAGGATAAGCACTCCCAAACAGGGGCTAGGTCCATCTAGTTATAAAGGAAATAGTATGTATCATCATACCATTGGTACTTTTATTAATTCACTATTAATATTACATAATATTTTTGCCACGTTGGAGAACACTGTACCAATTCAAACCGTTTATCTGGATATACTCTAGATTTGCCATGTAATTCACTCTCCCACTTGACATTCTTTGTATTTTCTCCAAATTATACAAACTATCCAATTCTTTTTCAGTATTTTATTTAAAAGGCCCAAAAAAGAGAGTTTAAGAATCTAGAGTTAGTGGTTGTTTAACCAATAATAACATCCCACGTCAGCCATGCATTTGGCCATAGAGATGTTGACTTTCTGATCCACACAATTCTATAGAATCAGGATTTGCACATCATACCGACCTCACAGCCCTATCTCACCATATATTGGTAACATCTCCCCATGAATAACAACACAAAGTACGGGGAGATGTTCCTAATCTGCAGCTGGGAGGCATTGTGAGGTTGGAATAAGGAGCAGATCCGGACTCAATGCTATACATCAAGTAAGACCTGTTCAGGGGCTGGTAGGAATGGCAATGGGGTGGGATGGGGAGCCTCTCCCCATCTCCATCACTGTCCCCGCTAACGGGGACAATTAAGGTTATATTCATCCCTGCGGGGATCCCCACTTCCCGTGATATTTTATAATGTTAATCATTTTATTTTTTTATTTTATTTTAAAAAAAATAAAAATAAAATAGTTAAAATTTATAATCCTATTAGAAAAGATTCGAACATATTTTTAAAAATATTAATATATAAGCGTATGTGTTCATATGTATATATATATATATATATATATACACATACGTACACATACATACAAATATATTAGCAGGGATCCCACGGGGCAGGGAGTGCTCTCTCCGTTCCTGCCAACGGAGATGAAAATTTCTCCATCCCCATCCCCATGGGAGAAAATCATCCCCATCCCTTCCCCATTTGAGACAAATAATGAAAAAAAATTACTATTCCTAAGAGATGGGCTTTGAACTCGGCTCTACATTATTGTTATAGATCTCGCTGAACCCTTTCAAATTATGGCAAAAATTAAGCCTGAACCCGGGCCATAAACCCAGACCTAACCATTAATTAGAGCAAGTGATGGATCCTGTGGTTGCACAAGATTTTCTACTATAGACAAGTCAGAAATTTATTCTGATTCATGAGATGTAACCTCACAAATGAATTTTAGAGATTAGACAGGTCGACTAGGAAACATTCAAAATGAACCAATAAGCAACACTGGACGATGCTTATATCCATATTAACAATCCAAGCCATGAAAAAAATGGTAGGAAAACTAAAAGAGACATACAAGAGAAATATGATCTCCCACAAATTTAAGAAGCAAGCACCACCACCCGCGTACATGACAGAACCTTGAAATCACGTTCCTATAAACAAACCTTACCACCCTTTCTCCAATCCTGATTTTGGGAGTTAGAGGAGCATCCTTTTAATGGTTTTGACAAAAATTTTGCTAAATGAGAAAATGAGAAAAGTCAGGGAGAACACCCAATTGCAGGTTCAAGATTATCTTTTCTATCAGTTTATGTTGTGATCAGAGTGCACATCGTTCTTAAATAAGACCTGGACCAATGTTCCAAGGGGTCAGGGCCAAAGGACATTTTAGACCATAAAAGCATAAAAAATGGGATTTAAAAAACATATATAAATCATATGGTATTACATGTGAACGGGTTGTAACAATACTTTTTAAGGGAATATTTAGTCAATTATCAAAAAACTTATGGTCCGTTTGGTTTACGAACAGGATCGGAATCGGAATCTGAAACTGAATCACCTATTCCTGTTGCTTGTTTGGTTCATTGAGGAATCGAAATCAGATTCTGATTGTTGTTGTTTGGTTCAACTAGAAGCTAGAATCAGAATCGGCCAAAATTTTCAATTCTATCCCTATTAGAAAAAACTCAGAAACAGTGCACTTATATATATTTTCAACACATACACACATTGGCAGCATGCTAGCAATTGCATATATGATAAAATATGAAAAGAAATTGAAAAAAAAAACACAAAAAGTCATTATTCACCATAAATTTTTATGAAATCATTTTTCAGTTCTGCAAACACAAAAATCATTATTCAGTTCTGCAAACACAAAAATCATTATTCAGTTCAAAGAAAACAAATTTTTGTAAAATTGATGATGACTAGAATCCATGCTGATAGCTAAGGTATAGTCAAATACCAATTCTTTCATGGAAAAAAAGTTGCATCTCTTAACATGGCAGCCATAAGAAGCAGAATATCCTTGTTTTCTGATTTTGTTGTATTGATTAAAGTCCAAATGACACATCGGATGAGAACATAGGAGTTCAAGGAACTTACGATTGAAAAGTTTTGGTGGATCTATCATTACCCATGAATTGGACCAAAGAACCGGTTCCCGGAAGAACAATTTCCATGTCCTCTAATGTGATATTCTCTAGACAACTAGCAACAGTTTGATCATTCTTAACTTCATCCATGTCAGTGGCATCTAGACATGGGATCTCCTCCCTTGATGTCATTTCACCTCTTTCTCCTGATGATATCTTATCAGGTTTAGATGTATTCTCATTTATCCATGGTTCTTCAATCATAACTACATCATCCTGCACAGGTGACAATCTTTTAGATTCTTGGGACTTGTGTCACATGCATCAGTGATCTCAGGAATCTCTGAGATAAGTTCATCAATGATCTCTGTCGGTGTCAAAGAAATAATTTCCGCCATTGTTGGAGTTGTATTGCATTTATAGGCATCAAGATTATGGTTTAGTAGGGTATTTTTTCTTTATTTTTGTCTTGTTCCTATCTACTTTTCTCTGATGTAGGTTTTGATTAGGTGGACGCCTGAAGAGGGATTTCATCTGCATCTCATGTATACTGCAACTACTTGCATCCTTTTTCCCTTATTCCTTCTTATGGAATTGAACTAGGAAATGACTTATAGTTTTGTATTTATTTTAGAATTAATGAATATATCAAATAATGTTTCCATTGGTTTTCCCTTCAAATGGGACTAATTACATTCTATGCTTGATGAAGCTCAAGTAGCATAGCAGGGACGGTTAGCACCCATGTAATTGCACTTATGGACATGATTAAAACTCGTTTGATGTTGCAAAGAGAACCTAAAAGAGTTGGAGACTATAAAAATGAATTTTGATGATACGTAAGCTGGCAGCTCCTTGATGGAGGACAGTTTAGATACCGAGCTGGTGAATTTTTTGCTGGAAGGTGGTTTGGATGTTGAGTCGGCTAGTGCACCGAGTTAATTTGTAAAAAGATAAGTGTCAGAGTGAATAAGATGCTCTATCTGGGGTGGGTACTCCGATGCTTAAGTCAGCGATGTGGAGATTTTAGAGAGAGCTAAAATGCTAAAGAACTAGAGAGCTACGAGAGCTAAGTTGTGCATACCTTCTGAGGTTGGAAATGATACCTTTATATAGGCGTTATTTAGCATATGCTTCACGCACCGCATCCGAGATCTCTGGGAAGACGTGGCTAGCTAGTCCGAAGTCCTCGGAGGTAGTGGCGCACATAAACCAAGCTTTGTGCCTTATTTAGTTTCCTCCAAAACATTCGATGCGGGAGCTGACTTCCGGAAGACCTGGGTGTGACGGGATGCACACACGGAAGAGGTCAGCGAGCACGTCTCGTAGGTAGCCACTTGGACCTCAGTCGAGTCGACAAGTCCTCGAGGGTGGTCGCTCTTCACACCGAGGTCCCTTGGACCGGTAACAACAAGGTACCACATGTCGGCCATGGACGAGGTGCTCCTACCCGCCCTACCGAGGTGCCCGAGTTGTGTATGAGGTCACCAGCTAGGAGGACTCCATCAGGTCGGCGAAGGTAAGTCACTAGCTGGGTCTCTAGTAGGTTGGCAGTTGTGTTTCCATCATTTTGGCTAAGGCAAGTCATCACCTTTGTGGTGCTGGGGTGTTATTCAACTGTTCTGAGATGCCACATGTCATGATGTCAGCAGAGGGCCAAATCTGCCCTCATCAGATTTCATTGTGCAATTGAAGTATAAAAGTTACACATCATATTTACTTTGACAAAGTCTGTACTTTGAGGAAGGGAAATCATTATAGTTAATGAATGGCATGCTAATTTACTTTCATATTGGCTATATGTTTTCACAATTTCCTTTTTTCGAATTGTTCTTATTCCTTTCACTTGCTACTTTTATTTGCATAAGGCCAATCTTCATCATCAGTAACTCTCATCAGTTTACAGGCAACAATAAGATTGGTTTTCTTGCCATTTGCATTGGTTGGGACTTGGAATTAGAACTTTTAACTGGTATGCAGTAATGGGGTTTAGGACTCTTAACTACTTTAAGAGAGTTGAAGCATTTCTGCAAATAGGGCACTATAGCCAATAGGACTTATGGGTGGTGCCTGGAATCATTAAAAGGGGTTCATTCCATGTTTAGAGTTCTTTTGGAGCAGGTCCATTAGAGAAGTGCCTAAGAGCAGGTTCTATCATCCTCTTGTTGCTCTCTGAATTACCTAAACCCACTTTAGAATTTCACAGAAAAGAGAGGTCATCTAAAATTAGTTCTGCTTCATATTATTTTTCGAATTTCAGCTTAAATGAAATTGCCCCCTTCTTGAGTTTTAGACATGTAACTGTCAGGAATTTTGACCATCATAGAGTTTGTTGGTTCAAATTTTAGCATTGCAGGATGGAATTAAAGACGAACTTCCATTACTTGATTTTTGCTCTCCGCTTTCCAACCTGTCTAATACTTTATAACTTGTGGTTTGAGGTCATGCTAACAGAAGGCCCCCGGGTACTTTACAAAGGGTAAGATTGTAGAGATGACATCAATTTACACTGATATTCATGCACGCAAGTATCTATTTACACTCGCATACATTCATATTCATGAAGCACCCAATTTGTATTGTTTAATGAGATTTGCATAGTAGTGTTGCATCACCAATACCTGGATTTACTGGTTTGAAAAGCTCGTTAATGGCACCAGTGAAGAAATAGGTCAATCCTGAATCAGAGTAAGGACGGATCTTTAAAAAATAAAAATCATATTGCAGTTAGTAAAAAAAAAAAAAGGAAAAAGGAAGAGGAAGAGGAGCTGGGAAGAAGAAGAAGAAGATCCCAAATCAGAGAAGATCTCAGATCAGATCATGAGTGGTTGATTTGGAAGAAGGAGGAGAATGGGTCGACGGCAGTTTTACCTGACCGGAGGTCGGTTCGGCGGCAGCGGATAGTTTGGACTTTGGTGGTCTGCCCTTCCTGTTCAGTCACACGACATTCCAACTTTGGAGTAGGGTTGGAAATGAACGGGGTATTCTTTTCCAGAAAAGAAATAATCAACCCATAAATCAGAATTGGAATCACATTCTTTGGGGGGTGGGGGGTCGGGAATGGCCATTCTCCCCAATCCCATTCGGGGATGGATTTTCATTTCGGTCAACTAAATATTTGGAATGGAGTTGGGCCATTTTGATTCTGATTCCAACCTCCTATTCATTCAAACCAAACGGATTATTAGAGATATTTTAAAGGATTTTGAAAAGACAAATTTTTTAAACTATTCCAATTGTTTAGTTAATTGATAAACTGTGTCTTTACTATTTATTTATTGTCTTAAACTATTCTTTACTGTTTTTGACAATTGATTAGTTCTATCCCTGTCATTAAAGTTTCATTAAAATAATCCATACACATGTCACACCTCGTATAATTTTTTTAAACCCAATATTACCCTTTATTCATGGGCTGAGACGCTCGTGGGGATGAACAAGGATTCCCTGCCAACGTCTAAGTTATTGGGTGTATGGTGATTGAGATGGCCACCGGGTGTCCCCGGTGGACGGAAGCCCTGATCTCTGCCCTTTAGGCCCCCGCTGATACCCTTTTCAGAACTTCCCCTGCACCAGCTCCCTCTAGGTGAAGCTGCAACAATAGCGAAGCCACCTTCTCCTCTTTGTCTTCAGCCCATGGAGCCAGTTCCAAGTTCTCCAAACAAGATAAAACCCCAGCAGCGAACGAGATTACAGCTGAAACCTGGGGCATAAAAGATTATTGTGGTGGGAGTCAAAGAAAATTTAGAATAGAAGGATCTGATGACCTCTGCTGCCTTGACCCCCGATTGGAGAGCTTGGTAGCGAAAAACCGACCATGGTCGACAAGGATCTACTGATGAACATTCATTAACGCTAAATCCATCCTTGGAGATTAGGGTTAGCTGGCAATAACAATAAGGATATCATACCAGAGAAGATATTGCACATGCCCCAAGGTGTTGTTCCAACAAGCGAAGTGGGTTGCCATGGCCCGCGCACCACCATCGTTTTGGGGGTTGATCTTTCTGAGGTCCAACCACAACCAAAGCGAATAGAAAAATAAAATGAGATTTTGATTTTGTCAAAAAGATATGGTCCCAGAGGAGCTAGGGTTAGCTTGACATCACTAGACATCGGATCATTAAACTGGTTCCCAAGACTACAACTCCCCAGGATCTCCACCACTTGTTTTTTTTTTTCTTTATTTATTGAGTTCTAGGGGTGGATTCGAGCTGAGTCAAGCTGAATAGTACGAGGTTCGAGTTCGGCTTGCTAAGGTAGTATAAGGCTTGTACTCGAGTTCGAGCTCGGTTTGATCTAGAACCTTGAGCTTGAGTTTGGCTTAAGCCAAAAACTCATAAGTTCAAGTTCAATTTGAGAAAAAATGTTTTATAAAACTAAAAAAAAAATTATATATAAAAAATATATTTTATTTGATATTTAAAAAATTAAGAATTATAATAATTAGTTATTATTATATATATTATTTTCTATAATATTATATATATAGAGAGAGAGAGAGAAATAGATAGATAGATAGATATGTAGCTATTCGAACTTGATTCGAAGCTTAATTAAAACCGAACTGAACCAAACTTTTCACAAGTAGAGCTTGAGTAGCTCGTGGCCACCCCTATCATGTTCTAATTGTTTAACCCTCTTAGAGTGGCTTGGCTTCTTCAAAGCAATTAAACAACAATAGGTACATATGAAGCGAAGTCCCTCTTACAATGGCTCCAACATCTGATACTATGCCATAAAGGTTTTGACTACTCAAAGAATCAACCTAGGCTGGTGAGTTTGGCCATGAAAGAAAGGTTTCGACAAGGCCATCTCCATTTGCCATGAAGCACAAGAAAGTTCCTCTTTCAAGTTCAATTCAGGGAGTTTTCATCTCAATCTTCCTTTGCATTTTTTATTTCTTTTCTCCTTATTTCCTTTTCTCACTTTTGTTTTTCTCTAATAGGAGTTTACTTGCTAATCTGCTAGTATGTTTTCTAAGTGACAGTCCATTCAGACTTGAGGCTTGTACGTTCCTCCCTTGAGTCATTTTGTGGCCTCATGGGTTCTCTGAGGCCCTACACCGATGAAAAGGAAAAAATCCGCAGAGTTATCTATCAAAAAAGAATCCTCAGAGTATACTAGGCAGAGGCAAGAAAATAGCTTGCTCTTATGGGAACAAATTTACCAACCCCCCACACGCTGCAAAGATTCATATCTAAAGAGAAACAAGAAAAATCCCAAAATGGGGGTAGTCCTTAGAAAGCAGGATCTCCAACACAGAATAGAGCAAAAACAAAAGAAAAAACAAGTTGAGAAAGTTTGTGTTGACAAGGACAAATTAGAGCGAAGGAAAGACGAATGCCTGAAATGAAGTAAATTTTCGCTCTTAAATTCATAGTTAATTTCTATTTCCGGTGTCTTGAGCTCCAGTTCCTAAAATTTTTCATCAGATGGGTTTTATTTTAAAAATTTGAGGAACAGTAAAGAGTAAATTTGACATTTCATTGTTTTATCAGTGCTTAACGACGATATCAATTGTCAGAAACAATAGGAGTATTTCAAGACAATATGTAAACAATAAAGGTATAATTTGTCAATTAGCTAAATAGTAGGGATAGTTTAAAAAATTTGCCCTTTTTTTAAATAATAAGAAAGTTACGCAAAAAGGTAGGTACTTAATTTGATATGTTCTTATATTATTTAGGTGAGAACAAAACATATAATGAAATAGAACTGGGTCCTCAAACAATTTATGAATTGTCGCTTTGGCCGAGTGGTTAAGGCGTGTGCCTGCTAAGTACATGGGGTATCCCCGCGAGAGTTCGAATCTCTCAGGCGACGAAATTTCTTTTATTGCCATTTGTATGATGAGTCATGAGTGAACCTCAACGGCTCAACCTCAAGATAGGAGTTAGGACTGACTCACCACTCAGTGGGTCCCACTTAATTGTCGCTTAGGCCGACCGGCCCAGTGTTTGAACGTGTGCCTGCCAGTGCCAAGGCACATGGGTGACTGGTGAGCGATTGTGTTTTCGTGTTTGGGGTTTTTACGACGAGTAAAAAGCCTCTGGGCTCTGGGGCAGTCAGTACTCACTACTCCGTAGTCACCATGCATTACCATGTGGCCGACAGCGAGAATAAACAGCCTCAGCCTAATTCTTTTGTCTTATTCGATCCATTCTCTCAAAAACAAGCATCACATGGTGATTGGTGACTCGAAATAGTGAGGTGAGGTCCCACACCAAATATCTGAGCTGGTTCAGGAAAATGCACCTTTTCTAGTACAGTAGGTCTTGGGGCCAACGAATTCAATTATTGATGTTTGTGTGGGAAACTCGTAACTCACAAGTAATTCTCGGTGTCATTTTGCGGCTATGATTACAGGTTTAGATCTAGGGCTGCAAGTCTGGTCGGGTTGAGGCCAATCCTAATTCAATACTAAGTTTTAAATCTCAATCCTGATCTTAACCCAATCCGACCTTCAACCCGATCAATCCAATTCTAATCTTAACCCTAATTAAATTCTTTCAACTTTAATCCAATTCAACCCAATCTAATTCGGGTTGGGTTGGGCTCGGGTTGGGCCTAATTCAATCTTTTTCCCATTCTTTAAAACCTCATAGAATTTCTCGATTTTAGATCTTAACTCAACTTTCATTACATATATTAATTCTATGTTTCATTAGTATTTGTTTGTTGACATTTTTTTTTGTTCTTTCGGTATAAAATTCAGAAAACCAAGTGTTAGAAATGGCTATAGTTTATTATGAGTTATGGCTTATGATAGATCTTTCTTGGGTGGCAAACAACACGGAGGAGATGAATAAATTTTTCAAAAAAAACATAAAATAATGTTATTAAGGTTTTAGTCTTTCTGATTATGATTAAGTGAAGTGATTATCTTAAAAGAAATGCATAATACTATGTGGTGGGGGTTATACAAATATCATACATCTAAACAAATCAATGTATGTTATATATTGTATATAACATATATTTATATATGACATGTACTATAGAGTCGGGTTGGCTAAGGGGTCAACCCTAACCCAACTCGAAGTAAAGTCGGGTTCATGAATTTCAACCCTAACCCTAACCTGAACATCAACCCGACCCAACCCAACCTAACTTTTTCGGGTTGGGTTCGGGCCAACCCGACCCAAGTTGCAGCCTTATTTAGATCCATCCTCCGCTTCATTTGGTTTCATTTATATTTTGATGTTTTCTTTGGCTTAAATAATAATAATAATAATAATAATAATAATAATAATAATAATAATGATGATGATGATGATGATGATAATGATAATGATAATGATAAAATCTTGGATTGTCAAACTTAAGAGCAGATTTTCAAATCTGAGAACTATAACTTGTGGAAAAAAAAAAACTAAAAAAATCCAACCTACCCCTCCCAAGATCCAAATAGACCAACATTAATCGAGTATTTGCCATTAATTTAATGGGGTTTGATCAATGTTGGACCTTTGTCCTTTGAACATCATAACATTATTATTAGAAAGCAGCGTTTCCATTTGACTATAGTATTGCAAATCCTGGATAATTTTTTTTTAACCTTAACTAGGCTTACCAATGAAGGATGATAAGTAGTTTTCTATTGAAAGGTTTTCTACCTCTTTGGAGTCTTCAATAAAATCAATAGCTCAATTATATCAACACATTTCCAGTAATGCATAATTGGTCACATTTTTTGTGAGAAACATCTCAACATGAAGGTGGCCAAACCAAGGCCATCAAAGCAGAGACAACATCATCTGGGATGGGTCCCTGCCTACATGGATTATTGAGGATGATGCCAATCACAGATTTTGGCAGTGCTTTTTCTGTCATTTGTATGTAAGGAGGAACAGAAAACTACTCAATTTTATTAAATTTGATGCCTCTATGGCTAAAACCATGGTTTTAAAAAATGACTCAGAAATGGAACTGTTTTGGCCACCAGTTTTTGGGTCGACGGTCTGATCGTTTGGTTCGAATGGATGGCCCATTCTGACAAAA